AGCAGTCTCATTACAAGAAAAACGAGAAAGAAACTTGCGTGTTGATTTCTTCAATAATTTAGTTGTAACATTATAAGTTAATGTATCAATACAAACTACCAACTAGCAATAATTCATTAGAGTCAAATATTAAAAACAACTAACTTAACGGCCCCTCGCGACATGAAATTTTAAAGGCCACTAACGCCCTTTACGACCTCAGTCGAGTTGGACGATAACATTATAACATCTTATGTTAATGAATTTGAACTATTGCTGTACCAGTCGTAAAGAGTACGGCAAGTAATATATGTGAAAAAAATAATTATCGCCCTATTTCACTAGCTACTGTCTTGGCGAAAATATTTGACAGTCTATTAAACTCGCATCTGAGAAATACTCTTAGTATACATGACGCTCAATTTGGTTTTAAGCCTGGCCTTTCAACTGAAACTGCTATATACTGTTTGAAGCACACTGTCAAGTATTATTTAGACCGTAAAACACCTGTAATAGCTTGTTATTTGGATTTGTCTAAAGCTTTTGATATGGTATCTTATGAGATCCTGTGGGAGAAGCCTCAGACATAAAATATTTCCAGTGAACTTGTTACAATTTTTAAGTACTGGTATGATAACCAAATTAACATTATTAAATGGGCGGATTGTTTTTCAGATGAGTACAAACTGGAGTGTGGGGTGAGACAAGGTGGTATATCCTCACCCACACTTTTTAATGTGTACATTAATAGCCTGATCGCTGAACTTAGCAGTATGCATGCTGGCTGTTACATAGATAGATAGATAAAAATCTTTATTCGTATCCCGATAACAAAGATAGTACAAACAAAATTCAAATAACACATAAGAATAGTAAATAATTATAAAAAAAATACAACACATAATACTTTAACTTCCACATAAAATAAAAAACATAAAATAAACATTAAAATATATATTAGGTGCCACAGGGATACGAAAGGGTTGAGCTACTCAGTGAACAATTTGCTCAGCGAGCAAAACACTGATTTTCAGTAGCAGCCCAGTGGTGGTGCGATCGCGTGCAGCGACATATTCACTCAACAATCTTAATGTTACCAAAATTTAAATTAAACTAATTCTTAATAAAAATAATAGAAGAAAAAAATAATAAAATAAATAAATCAAAATGTATATCAATATCAATTCAAATACAAATAACTGTTGACGCGGACCATTACCTAAGCGACCAAAGGCTTTCAAAAAATAATAATAATATATAAATGCTAGGAATTGTCTAGTAGAAAAAGTTTTATCTTTTTCTTAAATACCTGTTTTGAAGTAGATAGTACATAGATGGAATTGCCGTTAATAATCTGAGTTATGCTGACGACTTGGTGCTGCTGAGTCCATCGATTAGTGCGCTACGTAAAATGTTAAATGTTTGTGAGCAGTATACCATGATACATGGCTTGAAATATAACACAAATAAAAGCGAATTTATGTTTTTCGGTTTAGGTGGTAAGAATCCTACAATTCCACCAATTATGTTGTATGGTGTGCCTATTAATAGAGTAGCCAAATTTAAATATTTAGGACATATTATTACCGACGACCTGAAAGATAACGCTGATATTGAACGTGAACGCAGAGCGTTGGCTGTAAGTGGTAATATGTTATCTCGCAGGTTCGCTCGCTGTTCGACTGAAGTAAAAATAACATTATTTAAAGCTTACTGTCAATCTTTCTACACGAGCAGCTTGTGGGTTAACACACAGCAGGCATACAGCGCTCTGCGAGTTCAATACAATAATGTTTTCAGAATGTTGTTGCGTTTGCCGCGCTTTTGTAGTGCATCCACAATGTTTGCAGCACCATCAACAGACGACCTGTATGCCATCAGACGCAAACGGATCGCTTCTCTATTGCACAGACTGCGGGGCAGCAGTAACAGCATTCTAAAAATGCTGTGCAATAAATTTGACAGCCCAACACTTTGTTTTTGGACCTAAATTGTTACGGGTGCCCTTAAATGATAATATGTAATTTTAGATATACTAACATAGGCTAAGTACAATTGTTACTAAATAAATGGATCTCTGTTATCTGAATAAATAAATTAAAATTAAAATTAAAATTAATCTAAAACAATGAACCTTACAAATATTGAAATAATATTTTAAACACCAATTGTGAATAAATACAGGCAAACACAATGACAGACAACTGGCAACACTGTAACGCAAGCGAGTGGCGTTTCAGGAAACTAACTGTGGCAGCCGAACGGTTGCAATTTCCGAGCTGTCATTCTGTTAACAACTAAAATTTAAGTTTCGATTTTATATAAGTTATATATACGCCTCGTGGTTTCACGCGTTGTTCAATTTAATATAGATAGAATAGAAATTATTGAAAGAAGAAAGAAAGAAAATAGTTTATTTGGTAGATAACAATATTAAAAATATTTTTTAAATTTTAAATTACATTTCATAGTATGTATGATATATGATAACATACTATGTTATCTGTGATAGTACCAAATAGGTCTCCGCTCAGCATATGTCGTGACGGGGTGCCACAACGCTTGTATTCTGCGGATACCTTATGAAGGTATATCTATAGATATAAATAAAATTGGAGTGTCTGTTTGTAACATTGAAATAACAGTTTTTTACTGCATGCATATGAATGCATATACACACGGTACATATACCAAAATAAGATTTTTTTATAATTTTTGTCTGTCTGTTTGTCGGTCTGTTTGTTCCGGATAATCTCTGAAATGGCTGGACCGATTTTGACTGGACTTTTTTGGCAAGTAGCTGATGTAATGGGGAGTAACTTAGGCTACTTTTATTTTAGAAAATTAAAGTTAAATTATATCATGAAAATGTTTGTACTGTGCGAGGTTCCCGCGACCATCGGAAATAAAGCGGTGTGCTAATCGCTGGACCACCGAGGCCGGCCATAAGTGTACAATAAAAACTAATTTTAGAATCGTAAACAAAAATTGTAGAAAGTAATTAAAACTCAAATATAACAATATCATCCGATGTTTGCACGTTGGTTACACGCGGACGAAGTCGCGAGAACAGCTAGTAATAAATATAATAATTGTGAAAGATGGAGACCAAGATGACGAGCAAAAGAAAACTTCACAGGTATAGTCGTAAAATAATTGTGTAATAATTGACTTATGACATATAAAAACAATATAATATTATAAAAAAATATGGTCGAGCGCAGTGGTGGCTGGCTCTCCGTCATACTCGTGAACGGGTGCTGCTTGTGTGGACTGGTCTGCTCTAATCACTATGACTTATTTTCTCTTATTAATTGTTTAACCAGTTCTTGTATATTGAATGTTTTTTCTATTTTATTATTTCATTGAATTAGTGCTAATCGGTGGTTTGTATTCACACACTTAAACTTAAATTGTAAGTAAGAATAAATTATTTAAAAGAGCAACACACAAGTTTCTTGCTTGTTCTTCTTGTGATGAGACAACATTCCGAATGAGCGGTAGATTAAAAAAAAAATGTTATGACTATTCAAAAGTGCTTCAATATAAGTTTATTTGAATAAATGATAATAAATGGTCTGAGAATCAGCTACTATCTATTTTACATACCCCTAAGTGGTAAGGGACCCCTAAATATTTTTTTTCGACATCTTATTTTATTTTCATTTTATTATTATTTAGGATTGAAAAATACATACAACCCTAAATTTTCACCCTAGCCTGCCCCTAGCATCAACCCCTATTTTTTAATAGCGATTTTAATTTATATGGCAAAATAACGTTTGCCGGGACAGCTAGTATGTATAAAGTAGAAAGTATAGTGTAGAAAGCAGTTTATATCGTGCTCCGTAAGTGCCGGAATGGCAACATTTGTGTGGTTTTTTTAATGGAATGGAACCTAAATCTAAATATATATAACTCAACTCCTTGCCTTGCTCCTTACATGATAACTTTAATAGAATAGAATAGAATAGAATAGAAAATCATTTATTCAAATAAACTTAATTTAAGACTTTTGAATAGTCATAACAATTTGTTTTTTATCTACCACTCGTTCGGAAAGCTGTCTCATCACAAGATTTAATAGTTAATTAACCCTATTTATTTTTGTATGGTTTTGTTACATTGTACACTTAATTTAATAAATATAAAGTTAAATAAAATTTTGTTAATGACTGAATTGATGCCTCATGAACATAATGCTGACGGCGCACGAGTGCAAAGTACATAAACCGTACACTATGTAATAATATCTTATCTGTGTAATTGCAAATATTATCGAATATATATCGAAAATAAAATATTAATTACTAATATAAATCTTAGTATTTCTCTGTTTGTTCTATCTATACACACGCATTATATATCTAACCATCCTCAGGAATATCTGTATCATAATATATTTATTTTAAATACATTAATGAATTCACAAAATGGCAGTATTCAAAATGTGTTTCGTCTTGTCTTGTAGACAAATATTTAAAGTTTTAAAATTCTTTTAAATTATTTTTCCCTAAAAGTTTTGGATTTACACAGAAGTATCTATTATATATCATTTTAAAAGTATTTAGATAATAATTAAGACGGCGTGGTTAATTTGATTGACTTATATAAAAGAAGGCAATTCTAGCTTCTATATTTGAAAAATGACATTTTAATATTTAATCGACGAATTGTTAAATAAAAAATATCAGTTTGATTTTTCAAAAAAGACGCCCCCGGGTGGGCTTGAACCACCAACCTTTCGGTTAACAGCCGAACGCGCTAACCAATTGCGCCACGGAGGCAGACAACTCATATTGTGAAAATTACAATTACAAGCGTATATAAAAACATGATGCCATCCTAACTATATCAGACAAGGACAAGTATATCGGTAGGACTGTTTTTACCTGCGAACAGAAATGTTTGAAGTCAAAACCTGTTTTAAAGCGTCTTCTATGGAAATTCCAAGATTTACTGTGAGATTTCTGTGTCATAACACAATACAACACTTATTCCCAGGTCGAAACACAGTGTACTGTTGGAATACAGTGTACACAATTAAGTTGCTTTTGAGGTTATGTTGACAACTTTAGTTTGTTGAAGGAAGTCTTTGCTAAGCTTTTGTTTATAAAACATTTAGTGCAGTGTTTTACTAAAACTGTAAGTGAATATTAATAAATTTGTGTGAAGTTAGTGGAAAATTGTTAAATATCACTTCATAAATTTGTAAATACATTTGGCGTCATAGGGCAGTGAAGGGACGCGATTATAATTTTGGCCTAAAAAAACTGTAGTCTATGGCGAATCGAGTGGCTGGAGCGTGCTGCGCCGCGTCTGTTGAGCGAGCCGGTCTGCCTGGCTTGCTGAGAGATTTACAAAGACTATCCGAAGATCATGACTCAGCTGACATAATTTTTATCCTCGGTGCTGCGGAAGAAAAAATCTATGCGCACAAAATAATTATGGTTGCCAGGTAAATATTCAGCTGTTACAAAAATACAAAAAGTTTATTCCCGTACCGGGAATCGAACCCGAGCCTCCTGGGTGAAAGCCAGGTATCCTAGCCACTAGACCATACGGGAGATGACTGTTTTGGTCAAATATTCCATTATATTCTTAAGTACATGCTTATTAAGATGCCATAAATTTTATGTCTGGTTATTTTCAACGATTATGTTAGTAAATGTCTTTGTAAGTTTTACAAAAAGCCATAATAAGAAATTTTACTTGATTTCCAATACACGACTTTGTTACCATAGAATATATTAATATTATTTTTTATATGATATTTTTTATTAATACGTGCATATGTGTATGTAGGTACATAGATTTTTCTATAATTCATCGCGACGGTCTTGTACAGTATAAACAAATAGAAAATAACCCAGCCACCGTCAGGGTACATACTTAGAGTTGTTCTGGGATTAAATTTGAACAAAAATAACTTTTCAATTGCAAATTTTCTAGAGACAGTGAGTTGCAAATTGCAACCTTTCATGATTGCAGTAAATTTACTGTTTCAAATGCAAATGTAGTTTCGTCGCAGCTGTGAAGATGCAATTTGTACCATTACCAGAGCAAAGTTAATGTAACGAGCTAAACATAGACAGACATGTTCAAAAATTATTTTATTTTTCTATATATATAATTGCCTACTCAATTTAATTTGTAAAGACACATTTCGTATCATGTTGGATTTTTCAATATTGCATTTAATAAATATTACGAATAGCGCCATCTGTTGGTGGTGATTAAATACTGACATTCTTGTATAGATGTCGCTACCTATAAGGTAGGATCTGTAGTAATGTTTTAAAAAACTATTCCGATTTAAATCCTGAATTGTATATATAATTCTTTTATTAATTAATCAGAAATGTCTTTTTATTCTAAAGTTTGTATTTATAGTTTTAGTTCAGTTCTTGACAATATCTAATAATAATTATCCGTACTGGTAGTGTTTTACCTATATATAAATATAAAAATAACACTATAACAGACTTCAAGCCTGCAACTCTCACCAGAGGAGAGAAAGAGAGTCAATCTCAAAATCGAAAAATGTTCTCACAGATCATAGAATTTGTTTTGTATATATTTTTTATGACATCTTGAAAATCGATACACAATATCAACATTCAAACCCAATGTACATTGTTTTATCATCTGCTTCTTCCTTATCCCATTTATTTGTGATCGTCGTAATATGTTTTTCTCATCCATTCGTCCCTGTTCGTAGTCATCTCGTTATTTACTCCCTTCTTACCATAAGATATGATCACACAGTTTATCCATCTCTTTTTTGATCTTATGCCCAATTTACACTCAGCCCGAGTGGGCAGGGAAGTGAGCAGCGCGAGAGTGGAAACACTGCCCATGCCATTGGCGCTGCACTCGCGCTGCCCGGCGCTCCCTCGATAGTCGGTTTTTCGTGTGCGGGTCAAAGGACTGGCAGCGTGTTTTTACATTCAGCCCTCTCACTCAGTTGTCGCCCGGCAATATTTCCGGCAGCGCGAGTGGCAGGGGAAGCGGCTGAATGGAAACGTAACATTACTCTATCCTTATAACCTCAAATCTCATTCATATGTATTTCACCTTAAAATATTTTTTTATCATTATTTAAGTACTACTACTAACTAATATTGTACTAACATCTATTCAAAAGAGCAACACACAAGTTTGTTGCTCCTTCTTCTTGTGATGAATCTGCATTCCGAATGAGTGGTAGAATAAAAAATATGACTATTCAAAACTGCTTGTATTGAGCTTATTTGAATAATGATTATTTTTATGTCTATTTAAAAAAATAAACCCAATGTACATTGTTTATGAATCTATATATATATACATGTAACTCAAAGGTGACTGACATAGTGATCTATCAATGCACAGCCCAAACCACTGGACGGATCGGGCTGAAATTTGGCATGCAGGTAGATGTTATGACGTAGGCATCCGTTAAGAAACGATTTTGATTAATTCTACCCCCAAGGGGATAAAATAGAGAATGAAAGTTTATATGAAACTTTGTTCATTTTAAACCGATCGGGCTGAAATTTGGCATGCAGGTAGATGTTATAACGTAGGCATCCGCTAAGAAAAGATTTTGATTAATTCTACCCCCAAAGGGATAAAATAGGGAATGAAAGTTTATATGAAACTTTGTCAATTTTAAACCGATCGGGCTGAGACTTTGCATGCATAAATCTACTATGACGTAGACATCCCCTAAGAAAGGATATTGATAAATTCTACCCCTAAAGGGATAAATTAACGCGAGCGAAGCCGCGGGCAAAAGCTTGTTAATAAATAAAGTATAATCGGCCCAGATGATGACATCCAAAATACCATTGCTACCGTCGGCGTTGTACCATAGAGGTTCGGTACCATATTTTCCTCACATGATTAATTCTAAAAGTTTCCGGCTCCCGTCGCGGCCGCTCTAAATATGCAATCAATCTTCGCAATGACGCCACTCTTCTATCAGCTACCTTTACACGTACGCTCTTTTACACGCGTATCAGCTTACACGCAAAAATGTTTTCCGATCGATCGCCCGTCCAATTCAAACGGGGATCGATATTACGACGGCCTGAGTCGAGATTCGAACCTCTCGTATTCTTCAAGCTGGAGTTGGCCTTCAGCCGCTCCACTACTACTCTAATGCTATTAGTGAAGCGGTGAAGCGGTGAAGCTGTAGAGGCCACTCTACAGCTTTACCGGACGATAGGGGGCGACTGCAGATGGCACTCCAAGCCAAAGAAAGGACTTACGGACCGGCTGAAGGCCAACTCCTCACTGACGGATGCGACTTTACTCTGAGGACACCGCTAGGGGTTGAAACCTCGGTTCAGGCCGTCGTAATTGCGATGTCCGTTTGAATTGGATAGGGTATGGATTGGTAGGTTTGTGTGTCTGTGTGTGTTTGTATATGTGTGTGTATACAGAGGGATACGTTTGTGGTTTTGATACATAATATTAATACTAGATTTAAAGATAAACTTGCTGTCCCCAAGTATCGTTTAGAAAAAGTCTTTTATGGGAATAGGTATAAAAATTTACAATAAGATACCAAAGAATATATTGGAATTACCCTTAAATAAATTCAAAACATCTGTTAAATCATATTTACTGAGCAAGGCCTATTACTCACTAAACGATTACTTGAATGACGAGCGTGTTCATGTTCGGGATTGTCATTTAATGTTAGACATAGACAACTATGCATTGTAAATAAACTGGCTTTTAAAAAAAAAGTAATTCAATTGAGTTTCTTGCCAGTTCTTCTCAATTAAATCTATATACCGAACTGGACGGTAGGGAAAAAAATTAAAATGTAAAAACTTGACGTTCATAAGCGGCTAAAATGTCCTACATGAATAAATGATTTTTGAATTTGAGTTTGAATTTGAATATGTGGTCGTGTGCTTTTACACAGAATCATCGACTAAATACCTGAAAATATTATATGTTGCTTCGATAAAACTTATAAATTTATGTATATGTAGTATGTAGAATATTATTGATAACAGTAAATTTAAACATCCCGCAGATTATATAAGACTGGGTTTTATTTGATAGATATTATCTATACATCTATACATAGATATAAATAAAATTGGAGTGTCTGTTTGTAACATTGAAATAACCGTTTTTTACTACATGCATATATTATGCATGTAGTAATATAAATACGGTACATACACCAAAATAACATTTTTTACAATTTTTGTCTGTCTGTCTGTCTGGACAGGGGATCGATCAGAGGAGATGAAACAGGGTCATTATTCCCCATTACAAATAGTCTCCTCCTTGTTGCGACAACTTATGACATACCCTCATTAACAATACCAAGGAATAGCTACATCAAACAAATTGAGGACAAAATGGGAGTCGTGTCGTATCAAGAATTAAAGAGCATGATGGAAGATCGCGGAAAGTGGCGAGAGCTCCACCGACAAAATTAAATTATGAATGAATGAATAGAAAAATACGATGCTATGCGTGTATCATAGTTACTTACAGCTTGCATTATTTTGTGTTGTGTATCTATTTGTTGCATGTTGTTATAGTTAATTTTAAACTTTCGTGTTTAATATACATTATTTAAATTATTAACTGGGTCTTAACACGAATAATTTTATTGCAAATAAAGGTATTTACAGTCAGTTCAGTTCAGTCAGCTCGTGACCACGGCTAGTGCAACCTAGTCGAAACGTCGAGAGAGGTAAATACCTTTATTTGCCATAAAATTATTCGTGTTAAGACCCGGTTAATAATTTAAATAATTCATGTTGTTATGTATGTATGTATATATATATTTATATACCTATATATATAATATTTATATCAATGTATACTGTTTATATATGTAATATGTTATTCATTATTATTAATTTGTCATTATTATTATTATGTTTTTTTCTTTTCTATTCTAGTGCCACCTCCCACCTTTTCTCTTTTCTCCTCTACCCAAAGGTTGCCTGGAAGAGATTGCATAAGCAAGCCTTTTGTGCCCTCTTAATTTTAATTAATGTAATTTTCCTGGTGCAATAAAGAGTATATAAATAAATAAATAAAAAGTCAGCTTTACACTTTCCCACGCGAAAACTCGCGCGCTACTGTGCGCGCGTGAAAAAACGTATCGTGTAAAGGCGCGCTAATATTAACTTGTAATTTCCACGCCTTCCTCATTTACTCGTTATATTTTCGAATCCAAGTTTGTTGCTAATTGCTTTTATATAATTATAACTTCTACAGGTCTACTCTGCTTAATATTAAATCCAATTTTGTAATCTTGAAAGAAAATCAAGGCTAAATCCCATAAACAAGTGGCAGCTAGTTCTTTATTGTCCACTAGCTGTTCCCGCGACATAGACCGCGTGGAATTTAACTTTATTTTTCTAAAAAAAAAAAGAATTTTTCTAAAACAAAAGTAGCCTAAGTTACTCCTTATTACATCAGCTACCTGCCAAA